TCTGTTCTTCTATTACATTTTTTTCTCTCTTTTTTTATTTCATATGTCAAACTAGTTATGTATTTTTTTTTAACATTTCAAAAATGATTTTGAAAAAAAAAACGAGAAAAAGAAAAAGACGAGTCATGAACTCACTAACGTTTTTTTTTTTATTGTTGTTTGTCATGAAAGAAAAACAATGAAGTTAATAAAACTATTCAATATATTGTTTTTATTCAGGAATTATATTGTTAAGTATTGATTCACATAAACATTATATTTTGTATCGGACTTTTTTTTTTTGCCTTATTCTTTCAATAGCATAAATAAAATAAAAAGGTGAAAGATAAAGTAACTCGGCACTATTGACTTACATTATAGTTTTAAAACAAAAAGCGAGTCATCTACATGTGGACCATCATAAAAAAAAGATTAACAAAGAATATATAAAGATAGCTTCTGTCCTTTTATCAGATTACAAGAAGTTTTACACTTATAAAATACCTTCGACCTTTGTCATTTTCACATCTATAGATGATGACAAGTGAATGTAAGTAACATATCTTAAAAGAAAAACTACGCAACTATAGTCTGTCATCATTGATGGTACTATATAAGATATCTTATGATGATGCAATCATTACCGTCTAACACGAGCTGATTCACGTATTTTTGAAAGATCGAGACCACCCGGTGTATAAGTAAATGGTTTTGGACCACCAGGACGACTTAGACTTTTAGCAAGAACAGCAGGAATATTTGGAATTTCCTATAAAAAAACACACACTCACAACAATGATTCTATTGAATTCAAAAAAAAATTATAATGTTTAATTTACTGATGTTTGTTCATTTGATGTAGAAGTTTCATCAGTAAGTGGTCGACTTTTTAATGAAGCTGCTGCATTTGCTATCATATCAGCATCAAACATTGGTGCTGGTGGGATACTTGCAGCAGGCATAGGTGGCGGCGGTGGAGGTGGTGGTGGCGGTGGCGGTGGTGCAACTGGCGCCGGAGGAGCTGCATTAGGCATAGATGCTGGTGGCTGACCATAACCATACTGTTGTTGTTGAAAGTCATGCTGATAGTAAGGTTGTTGTTGTTGTTGTTGTTGTTGTTGGTAATAGGGTGGTTGTTGTTGATAGTAAGGTGGTTGTTGTTGAAAGTGAGGTGGTTGTTGTTGTTGATAGTGAGGTGGTTGTTGTTGATAGTGAGGTGGTTGTTGGTAGTAAGATTGCTGTTGTTGTGGATGCGGATGTGGGTAGTAAGCTTGTTGTTGTTGAGGTTGTTGGTAATAAGGTTGTTGTTGGAAGTTCTGTTGATAATACGATGGTTGCTGTTGTTGTTGTTGTTGTTGTTGTTGTTGTTGTCCAGTTGGTCTCCACATCGGAGTTATAGGAGCAGGACGTGGTGCAGCTCCGCTTGGTGGATATGAATAACCGACTCTGAATTTACAAGAAATTTGCTAATAGAATAATCATGAAAAAAAAACATTTTTCGATATATACTTATGAACGGTAAGAAAAAGAGCATTTGCACAACGTTGAATAAGTTCAAGAGCATCTTGATGAGTCATATTCGTTACATTATTACCAGCTATTTCCAATAACATATCGCCTGGATCAAGTTTACCATCAGCAGGAGAATCGGGAACAATCTAATAATTAACACAAGAAATGTTTTCTTTTTTTCTTTCACCAACCAAAAAAACAAATAAAAAAAAATTTTTTTTTCTCTTATAAAAATGCAAATTTGTTTTTGAGAACAAAATCCTTAACAAAAGAAAACTATTGTTTTGTCTTTATAGTTAACTAATAGTTGTTTTCTTGTCTTTTCTGATTTATGGATATAATATATTTGTATAATGTATATATGTTGAAAGTTCTTTCGTCGTTTTTTGTTTTTTTGGCAAACAAACATACTTACATTTGTGACTGTCAATGGTTCATTGTATTCTAAACCACCTTGTAGTCGAAATCCCCATGAAACACTACCATCTTGTCGACTAATAAAAACTTTACTCATTTTGATTTTTCTGCAGTTCGGGTCAGACGTCGAGTGTATATTTGTATCTTCCTACACCCAGACTGAGGACGACTACGACAACGTTTCTCTCTTTCTCGTTTTTTTTTTCTAGCTTGCTCGTTTTGCCTGAGTAAGGAATACCAATATCCGCCAATATCTGTAATGCCATAAAAAAAACTAGAGAAAAGATAAATAACGGCAAAAAAAAGAAGCTAGCGCCTGTTTGCTGTCCTTGGATATGTACAGTACTGTGCAAATGTATGTATATTATAGTGAAACAAGGCAGAATAGAACGATAGTTTTCTTCCTTCGTTTGTGTACCGTGTAAACCAAGGAGAGATAGATGAGAAGAAGCAGAAAAAAAGAACGATGTCACTAAACAATTGTTTTTCCTCAATACCGATGCTTTGATGAGACATCGTTATCTTAATATTACGAGACGAAGAGAAGGGATGAGTCAGTTGCTCAGTATAATTTCTTTTTTTTATGAAGTGATAATAGTCTAAATTTTATCGATGAAATAAGTTAGACAAACCACTTAATTTGTTTAGAATTCTTATCTAATATATATGCATTCAGTATGTTTTATTAATGGATATCAGCTGTTCATACTATGGTTATTTTTCATATTGTGTATTCAAGTGTTCATAATTTATAGCACTTATTATGGTCATTGATTACATTTTTCGCTAGAATGATCTCCAAACTAATATCGAACAAACTTCGATTGTTTATTATAGATTGAATAATATTTATGATTTTACATCAAATTAAAAAAAAACGATCTAGATTAGAAAAATTTTCAATCATGTTGAAAATGTATCAATGAAATGAAATGATATCAAAATGAGTTTATATGAAATAATCGGATCGATTCAGTTTAAATTTTCGAAAATCTCAACCGATCCAATCTCCAGTTCAATCATAGTTTTTAGAATGTATCGTTATTATGTATTCCTTTTTTTTTTCTTTTTAGTATAGCTCTTGATGAAATTTTTCTTTACACTATTTTCATTCTAACCTATGACACGCAAAAGGAAATACACAATTGTACATTTCAAATTTTACAACTATCGATTATTGTCACTTACAAGGAAAATTTGCCAAGTGATAAATTGCTTTGTACATTAACCTTACCTCATTATTTAGGTTCTATTGAGTCGAAAGAAACTGTAGAAGGACTCAGCAGCCATGGATTGTTCTTCTTGAGTTATAGTTATTCTAATGAGTGTTTCAATTTGCATAAATTAAGTTTTTAGCAGAATTAATTTATTATATGGAAGTATTAGATATTCTAGTAATGTCTATTTTACCCAAGGGAACCTTTCCAGATGTAAAATCGCTTGGAGATATCGAAATTGTACTGGATTTTTTTAGCAAAAAGTTTATATGGCATGAAAAATCGATTTTTCGACTTCCAACTTTGCACGAACAAAGTTCTTAATAGGATTAGTTGATTGTACAACTAGTATTTCCTTGCTGGGGATGTAAATCTATGAACAAAACTTGGTTTTATATATCACACAATAGGAAATACTAAAAAAATGAGGGAGAGGGGAGCATAGCGTTTTGTTGAAAGATCCAGTAAAATTTCAATAGATCTACACTATTGTGTTACTTACTAGTGTTCACCACATAAACATCGTCTCAATCGAAAAGCCATTTGACACTGAGAGATTCTCGTTCGAGAACAAAATGTTCTCTTTGACAAAGCAATATTTTCAATATTGATATCTAAGATTTGATATACTAGAAAATCCATACTTTCACAATGAACTAGTCTTTTCGATAAGCTCATTTCTCGAAAGCTTGAACTAAAGGGCATAATTCAACATTGATTTGAGAGAGACTTCAAAAGGAATAGATAAACATGTATGGGAGTGAATATTAAAAACTTAAATTATTACCGAAACTGAAATCTGATATTATATGATTGCCTTAGCTCTGTAGCTTTTCAAGTGAAATTTTTCGTACATAATAATAAACCCATTTACTATTTTCATGCTAATACCTTGTAATACAAAAAAAAAACGAAAAACAAATTAATAAATAAGACAAAATAAAAATCCAAACAACTTTAATCTTCATAAATAAACAAATTACAATCATATATACATCTTTATAACAAAAGAATAAATTTTACATTATTATAAACAGTATAATATGTCTTTGTCATTATCTAATTGCATTTGTTCATTAGACAATCGTTCTTTTTTTCTTTATTTTGTGATTATGATTTTGATAATAATATATGTTATTTGCAATAAATACTAGAGAACTATGATCAGTAGGAAAAAAGTTACTAGTACTGGTTTGAGATCAAATAGATTTGGTCTCATACATGTCTAACTCTTTGCTTACGGGGTTTTTGCAATGATTATAAAAAAAAATATGGAGCTTGCTTATAGAAACAAGAAATCGAGTAACATATATGAAAGAAAAAGCAGCAAATTGTGTTAGATTTTAACCAATACTATAAAATTTAGTACTTCTAGAATTAATTGAATATCTGATTTTCTGTAAAATCAGAACTTTGGCAATAATTCCAACAGTCTAGAACGATTATTGTTCTAGAATTATACGTAATTTTACAGGCTTCTATCCGGTTTTGGATTTAGATAACCTATGATTACTCATAGATCTCTAAAGCAATTTTCTCTTTCATATACATTCCTAGTGATATATTATGTTGTGATACTAAAAGTACAAAGGAAAAAGAGAATATGCTATGACCGAAGAAAAGAAGAAGATTTTATAAGTTACAATATGCATATAAGATTAGCTCGTATATGTATGGGCGTTGTAGCCAAAAGGCTAATTATAATTCTTTTTAGACTTTCTCTATCCTAAATAAGATCTACGTAATATGATAAAACTCATCTGAAAAGTAATATTTTCTTACAAAAGATTTATTAAGATGATAAATAATATTGAAAAAAGAAAATTGCTGTTATATACATAAAAAATAATATATTATTAAATTTATCTAATATAATTAATGAAGATGTCGTTTACCATCTAAATACATCATGGCTTCTAAATATTAAAATAAAAAAAAGAGATTAAAATTTCTTTCATCATAATTCATTTATTTACCAGCATATGTTTTTGGTACAACATTTCCAAGTGGTTGTATATTATTTTTTGTTTTAAAAATAAAATAAAAAATATTTGTTGTTGCACGATTTGTTGTATGAATATCAACAACTTCAGCATGTACACGTGTTTGAATTTTATTATCTTCAACATAAACAACCATTGCCGAAAGAAATAAAAGTGAACCAATTTCTACTGGACGTTGAAACATAATATCATCAACAGCAAGTGTACTTAATGATTGTTTTCTAAACAAAAAAAAATAAAATAAAAAGAAACAATAGAAATTATAAACCCTACGCAAATAAACTAGCTGTTGTCCAAGCTAATTCAAATGATTTTCTCATTAAATAACCACCAAAAATTTTATTATATAAATTACGTTGCTTAATAAAATAATAATAATAATAAATAAAGGAGAAAAAAAAAACGAGCTCTGTAAAAACATACTTCTGGATGACAAATATGCATATTTCGTAGAATTGTTTCTTCCATCCACATTGAATTTTCTACTAAAAGACGAGTTCGAAATATTGATGTACTAAAAAATAAAGAATTCTCTTTACTATTATCGTTAAAATACAGTACGGTAGTTTAATAGTGATGCCCCCTTTCGGTTTTAAAGCGATTTAAAATAATCAAGAGTCTCTTGAAAGAAAACCCAATGGAAGAATTTTTCACACAAAAGTCTTGATTTCCAGACTCGCCTGAACTATCCGAAAATCTAATGATACTGGTATCGCTGTACTCTTATCATATTTGTCTTTCGAATGGCGAAAACTGGTTTTGTTATTCTACAGATATTAAAAAAACATCCGCGTTCATTATACTTTTGCAAGGATCAGGGTTGGAACCGGTCTGGCCGGACCGGTACCGGACCGGACCGAACCGGGCCGGTAAAGACCGGAATTTCACCGGTTGAAATTTTTCAAAAATCTTCTTTGTTAATCCTGTCTTTGACCATAAAAACTAAGGTATCACATGTTTTTTCTGTCAGAATAGGTAAAAAAAGTGCTCAAAACATATGTTATATTGATCGTTTTTCCTGAGGTTCTCTTTAAAAAGATTCATTATGATGAGCGTCTTTTACATGCGCCTTAAACTATTTCATATTTGGAGCGATTTTTTCTAAAAATCGGTTTTCAAAAAAAAATTCGACATTTTTCCACCGGTTTTCACCGGAATTTCACCGGTTGGACATGTGATTCCAACCGGCCAGTTTCCGGCCGGACCGGACCGTTTTAATATTTCTCAACCGATTCCACCCCTGGCAAGGATAGTATTATGTTCACCTTGGTGTTATTGTTTTGAGAAATAGATTATGAACAATTGTACTTTCAGCTGTATCAGGTGGAATTTTAAATAATGATTTATCTTGTTCAGCTAGACGACGTTGACGTTGTACTATTAAATATTTTATAATTAATTTAAAACTAAAATCATATTTATATTTACTTACATTCTCCCTTTTTAATAATTGCATTATCTTCTTCAGTTGTTCCTACTAATGGATTCATTTTGGCTGATCTGATTTTTATTTTTTTTATAATAAAAAATAAATTCAAGAAAAATATGTGATTATATAATTCACTTTTTTGTTCTTGGATCTCGTGCAGCAAGAACAAATAAAGCATGAAGTACATGTTCCCAAGTACCATTATTATCCTAAATATAATATAAATAATAATTTCTTTTTTTGTACGAGAATATTTACTTGATCAATTTTTAAAGTAACTTCCATAGAAGTTTTACCAACAAATGAAGCAAAACCACTTAAACGAATATCTCGATCCATGTGCATATGAGGTATTGCGACTTCTACAAGAACTTGTTTCTTTTTTTTTTGTTTTGTTTTAAAATAAAAATAAAGATTCTTTTTTTCTGCTAACCTATACGATCAACAGCAGCAGTAACAATAGCTAATGGATGAACATTAATTGATTTAATTAATTGTGGACTATTATGTTTATATGCAATATGAACTAATATATTAATTAAACAAAAAAAAAATATCAAAAAAAAAGAAAAATGTCTTTCTTCTATGTAAATACCAGCCATTGTATCAAGATCTTCAAGTATTCTTCCAAATCGTACTTTATTTTCAAAATTAGCATATGGTTCACGTAATTTTATATTTGATGCTAATTTATAAGAAAATAAATAAAAGAAGAGAAACACGTTTTTTTTTTTCTTCTACCTAATGGAATAATAGCTTCATCATAACTTTCAGCTATTGTACGTGATATTAATGTAGAATCAATTTTAATATCATCAGTTAATTGAGCATGACTTCCATTATGACTTCCATGAGCAAAAACTAATTGTGCACCAACTAAAGATTGTAAACCTTTTCGAACTAATTTTATAAGAAAAATAAAATTAATAAATATATCAAAATTTATTTTACTATCGCTCATAGTTTGTATTGAACGATATGTTGAAATTTTGTTTACAAATGAATAAGATACAAATAAATAGAGACGTTGATACATTATCTAAAATTTGATTTCTATTAAAAAAAAAATAAAATTATCTTTAAGAGAAAATACTAAAATATTTGTAGAAGGTTTTTTTTTTTTTTTTCTTTAATTATGAAATATTATTATTTGTATATCTTTTAATGATAAGAATATGTTGATTGTAATATGTCATGACAAAGAACAGATACATTAATTCTGGTAACCTTCTCACACGAAGCACAATATAATAGATAGAAGTGTGTCTTTGATAGATAACAAGGTTACGTTCAACTTTCTCATTATATCAATTGATATTCATTGTCAACAGAATTTCCCGAAGAGCAAAAAAAAAGCAACCAGAAAGTCTAATCACCAGTCTTTGACTAAAATCAATATATCAATGTTCGTCATCTATAGTGAACATGAAAAATTAAGTTATGATGAATAAAATACCTTGATGTCCTTGTGATATAGTGAATAGACAAATTGCTGATTTGTCTATTGATACAGACACTTGGATATTATTTGATTTATAGGTATATTATAAAGAATATTTTGACTGTGATTATCACATATAATTATTTTCATAGAAGACTATTATCTACAATTTAGTAAAAAAGCACTAGAATAAAATTATTTTATCAGGTGAAAATCTCCATAGAATCTTTTTCTTAGCGTTTTCTATATTCAATTCTAAAATTATTATAGAATTTATATCTGACACATTTCTCATTTTGGTTTCTCTCTCTCTCCAATGTTTCACACTTATCAAAATATATTCCAAAAATCTAATTATTTATTAATAATGATTAGATAATCATGCACACTTACATTTTCAGTTTTTTTATTTTTCACTATTCTAATCGATTCTTATTCTTAGAATAATCTTAATCTGAAAGCTGATTTAATACATTTGTTTTTTGTTCTTATATTGAATAAAGAAAACAAAATTAAAATGCCGCTATCATTATTTTTTTTTTTTCTCACACACACTATTTTGTTCACTTTTATTCCTAGAATATCTCTTTCTCTAGACCACACGCGCACGCACGCACACACAAAGGAATTCTTTAAAAAAAAAAAAAAAAAAAAAAAAAAAAGGAACGCAGATATTGAAAAAAGAAAAGAAAAGAATGTGAGCTCGTGTACTGGCGAACATTAAAGACAATACAGAAGAAGACAAAAAAAAAAAAATTACACACAGTTGGGCGCACAAAACGACGAAAAAAGAAAAATTTTGAACAATAAGAGCAACCATCGATCGAAGAGACACAAAAAAAGAAAGGAATAAATAAAGTACGAACAACGGGACGTTGTATTTAGATATACAGTGAGAGAGACAGAGAAAGGAATATATTTATTTATTTATTAGGTTCAACATGGCTGGGCAATGTACTATGTTGTGGCTGTCGTGCGCCGAAATTTCTAAGTACTTGACATACATGATCATGTTGCTGAGATTCGGCTAAATCATATGCAGTTACATCTTGTTCTTCAAATCGAAATTGTTGATCAACATTGGCACCACGTTCACATAAGATTCGAACTGTATCAGCATGACCCATAGCTGCTGCTATATGCAAACATGAGAGACCACTCTAAATCAAGAACAATATTATATATAATTATTTACACTATTGACATGTTAAATATCCTATCAATTCATAATATATCTTTAAGGAGATTCATGGATGTATGCAATTGAATTATGACCATTTTACTGAATTTTCGATCTAGTTTTAGGTATGAATGGAAAAACGAGATAATAGTATTTTGATTTGAAGTCTCACCTATAAACAAGTCGAATGACTAGTAGAAAGTTTGAGTTGAAAAGAATATTTCTTTGTTGAGATATTTAATTTTCAAGTAAACTCGATTTTTTTTGACGAACGACAATTTTTTGGAAATTCAGTATCTTAATCGAATATTTAGTAAAACCCGTCATAACTCTGCTTCCGAGGCTCGAACGTTTTTAGAATTTGTCTAGTTTTACCGCGATCCATTATGAGTTTAAACAATGAGCATTAGTTAGATTAGTTCACCTGTAAACACGTGTTATTATTATAGATAGCTTTGAAATTGATTAGTTGTGATATTTTTTTGAGTCGAAATTTCCAGGATACTCTAGTCATAAGAAGACCTATTTATAGGCTAAAGTTCAGGTCGAAATACTCTTCATTCGATTTATCGATACATAGTATCCCATGATCTAAAACTCACGTAAAATGTCTATAATTCTTATCCTTTAGAATTCTTTCATATCTGAATCAAAATGCTATGCATAGATAAACTAATGTCAGTTCTCTGTTCAAATTCGAAGATGGCTACAAATCGAGTCTAGAATAATCAATAGCTCTCTACTTCGTGCATTTATCAAAACAACTTACTTTTTCTGTCCCGTTAACATCAGCTCCTCGATCAATTAAATATTCAACAATATCTTGAAAACCTTTCGCACATGCACAAAATAAAGGTGTACGACCAGCAGTTTCACCCTAATAAAAAAAAAAATATATGAAAAGAGTTATTTCTCAAACAAATATTTATATTTTAATAATCATATCTTACTTTTCCTTCAATTTTATAATTAACATCTAAACCGGCTTCAACTAATAAACGTAATGTATCAAATGAACCAGATTCAGCAGCAACAATTAAACCATTAATTTTTCCATCATATAAATTTTTAGCTTCAACATCATGTCGAGCTTCATGTTGTATAAGTAATCGTGCTAATTCAACATTATTATGTTGACATATGGCAAGAAATGGTGATGAACCACGTTCAGATGTTACATTAACATTTGCACCTGATTCAATTAAATGACGAATAATTGCTTCATGATTTCTCATACATGCTATTAATAAAGGTGTTTGATTTTCAATATGAAGATCACGTGCAACTTGTCCTTTTGGTGATCGATTTACATCAGCACCATGACGAATTAATAATCGAACAACGTCTAAATGACCTTCTTCAGTTGCTGTGTACAATGGTGTAGCACCAGTCTATATATAAAACAATATTTGAAGAATATCTATTCATTTAAACAATATATATATATATACCATTGTTACAGCATTGACATCGGCACCATTTTGAATAAGATATTCGCAAATATCTACATGACCTTTCTTGGCAGCACCAAATAGAGGTGTCTTAAAAAAGAAATAATAATTCTTAGTAATTTCAGATTTCTAACTTATTTTTAGCAAATCAAAAATTTAGAGATGAAATTTTTATTGTAATATAACTTTGATTCGCGTATAAGCACAAAAATTTGATTTCAATACTTTTTCAGTTCTATGTTATCAGATAACCTGACTGATGAGTTTATTACACAACTTTTATCTGTCATTAGCATTTTGAATTTAGATATGTGAAATAGAATGTTTTGAAATAAAAGAAAGTTCCATACGGCTTTGACAGGCGATGTTATTATAGAAGCTTGCATAGAGTTCAAAAACACAAGAAAAACCTATAAAGTCAATCCTTTACTAGTAAATGAAGACTTCTCAATTTTATAACAAAGGTAGTTTAGATCTAATGAATGTTCGAATAATAGATATCATATTCATCTCATACTAGCATTTGTTTTTTGACTAAGATAAACTCTTGGGTTGTTATGAAATGCGTATTATTCAAATTTTAATCATTGAAAAATTTTTTTACCTGTCCAGCAAGAAAATTCTCTTCAGCTAATTCGCCTTTTGGTGTTATATTAACATCAGCTCCAGCTTGTACAAGTGCTTGAACAAGTTCATAATTTCCTGATTCAGCACAAAGAAGTAATGGTGATACACCATAACGATTTTGTACATTAACATGTGCTCCTTTTTGTATTAAAAATTTTACAACATCAACACGATCTTTTAATGTTGCCATAAATAATGCTGTTTGACCAGTTATATTTAAATTATCAGCATCTGGACCACTTGGTGCAAAATCAAGATCAGCACCAGCTTCAACACATGCTTCAATTATATCTAAATCACATATTTCAGATGCAAGTAAAAATGGTGTTGAACCTAATTTTGTAACAGCATTTGGATCGGCACCACGTTTAAGAAGTAATTTAACAACATCAAATTTTCGAGATTTCATTGCAGCATATAATGGTGTCCAACCAGTTATATTTAATTCATCAGCTAGATTACCAAATGGTGCAACATGTGTTTCAGCACCAGCATTTAATAATAATTCAACAACTTGTAACATGCCTTTTTGTGCTGGTATCCATAAAGCACTAACACCATAATGATTTTGTACACGTGGATTAGCTCCACGATCTAATAAATATTTAACTATTTCTGTTCGACCTTCTTTAGCAGCACAAAATAATGGTGTTTGACCACATAAATTCATTGTTAAAGCCAATTGACCTAGAAAAAAATATATATTAAATTAAGAAAAATAATAATAAATACTTAATGAAAAATTCTATATAATTGTAAAAGAGAAATTGAATACCATCTGCTTAGGACAAGTTACTGACAGCTGTTGATCTCAGATCATCCATTCGATAGCATGCTGACTACGTTGTAGCATACACCTGCTCTTGTCATTAGTTAGTATCTATGGATAGCTCAAGCAAGAGAGCATAAGCACTCTATATCAGGCTGACCTTCTATTCAGAGCTACACCTAATATTAGTTGTAGAAAAGATACTGGACTGCCACTAGACAGTGCTCCCATATCGCAAGGTAGCCGAAAGGTAGAGATATTCTTACCTAATTTTTCCTTTTTCGTGAAAAGCAATTTCTACAAGTTTAAGAATTGAAAGAGAAAAGAAGCTCGAACGTAATAGATTCAAAGATTTTTAATAAATAATAATCTTTACATTTGAATTAATTAATATAAATTTTTCGATTCGAATTTATTTCTATCTAGAAAAACTAGCCTTTCATTGAATAAAAGGACTAATGATGAATCTCATATCAATATTAAATGTATTTTTCTTCGATGTATGAAAATATTTTAAAAAAAAATCGAAAATGCTTACCACTTGGTGCTAACTCAAGATCAGCACCTGCTTGTACAAGTAATTTAACACAATCAAAAAATCCTTGTTCAGCTGCAAGCATTAATGCTGATATACCCGATTGATTTTGATGATTTGGATTAGCATGATGTGCTAATAAACGTTTAACACATTCTGGATGATTATATTTTGTTGCACCAATCAATGGCGTTGAACCAGCTATTTTATTATCTTCAGCTCGTTTACCAGATGGTGCTGAATCGACAACAGCACCACGTTGTAATAGAATATCAAGTATATCTGGCCAACCAACTTCGGCAACCATTAATAATGGTGTAATACCGGATAATGATGCTTTGTTTACTTCGACTTCTGGACATGCTATTTAAAAAGAAGAAAAACAAAAGAAAAACAACGATTAAAAAAAGTATTGATCAATTGAATTTATATTTAAACTTACAAGCTAAAATTTCTGTTAAAGGTTTATGTTTTTTACCAGCTGCTATACTTAATGCTGTTAGACCGTCTGCTTCTCGATAGCCTGAAAGAAAACAAAACATATATATATATATGATTCAGAAAGTATCATCGAATGATGATTCATAATATAAAAAAAAAACAAAACAAAACACAATGTCTAAAAAATATTTTTGATTTAAAAAAAAGATCATACAATGAAAATTGATACTAATAAATTTTTATTCTATGTATGTCTTATTAAGAATATATTTCACAATAATTATCTTCAAAAATAAATATAAAGAATATGTATAGAAATAAAATCGATAAAAATCTTTTTATATTCTTATCATTTTTTTTTAATCAAATGATATTTGTTAGAGATAATTGTGTTCAATTATGAATGAGAAAAATATTTTTTTTAATACATAAGTAATATGATTAAAAATAAATTTCAAACTTTTCTTTTTTTTTGACAATTATTAGTTAATACACCATTCAATTCATTTTCTATATTAGATAATTAATTATCAATCATTGCTAATAAATGTGTCGAAGGATTTTTTAACACAAACATTATAACTCCATACAGATTTCATTATATAAAAACCATCACACATTCACCAAATGCTAATACTCGATATTGATCATCAATTAGAAAATCTACCCAAATGATGTGAAAATATTATCTTCATAGACAAGTAAAAAATATTAGTAAGATATAATCGTAAATTGTTTAATTTCTATTGACCTATAGTGTTTATCTTATTAATATATGATGTTATATCATAACATGTCAAATATTTCAAAACCTAATCAAAAAACGATCATTGAATATTAATTATTTATAATTATTTGAAGAAATATTTCATTTGAATATTTGATCATATTTTTTATATGATGAAAATCTTATCAGACTATCTCATATTATCAAAAAAAAAAAAAAAAAATCAAACATACCCATATTGAGTACTTCTTTTTTTGTTGTTGTTGCTTTACGTCTATCTAATTCATCAAGAATATCTTTAAGACGTTTAACATCACCCGTTTGTGCTGCAGTAAATATTTCTTGATGATAACGTTCAATATCACCTTCAGCTTTATTTGCCTTTGTACCTGTACAACCCATTATTTCTGAAGCAAAAAGAAAAAAAAAACAGAACTTATTCTATCATTTATTAATATATATGAAGAAAAAAGAAAAAAAAAAAAAAAAACAAAATTCTATTCTCTGATTCTATCAAAATCTAAATATATTAATACTTACGTTTTATTTACTAAACTCATTCCTACTAAGAAAATCACCTTCAAACTGATCGCCTCAATACATCAAAAGAAAAAAAAAAAAAAGAAAATTTTGATCAATCAAGCGGAAAACGAATAGAAAGAAAGAGATTTTTTTTTTTTTGTTTTTGGTTTTTGTTTTATGATAATCTAATTACACATATTTGAAGTTATCTAAAGATGTAAACGATATTCTTCTAATACAGACAGACAATAACAAAACATTACGGTTATGCAGACATGCAAAAATCCAAATAACAACAACAATAATAATAATAATAATAATGATTCGAATATTTATTTGTTTATCAATTGAATTAAAATTTAAAATACAAAAAGAAAAAAATAGGTTTTTTTTTTATATTTGAAAATAAAGAAAAAAAGTTTATGAAGAAAATATTTTAAGATATTTATTTACAACAACTATATGTATTCAATGTTTATTTCAAGGTCTATTTATTTTATAGATGTCACTTTTATATGTTAAGTTTATTTAGAGAAAAATTTTAATTTTTTTTTGTATCTAAAAATTTATTTATAAAATAAAAAAAAAAAAAAAATTTTATATATGAAGATAAAAATAATAATATCAATGAATCATACATGTCAAATAAGACAACTTATCTATTATATGATAGAACAAATAAACACATTCTTATTTCTTAGTTTCAATTTTGTTTTGAGGATTACTGACATTTTTTATCTGATTGATTATATCAAAATGCAATTTTCTTTTCGTATAATTCAATCAAATAAATGACTTTTACGAAGATAAAACTAATCAAATATAATTCGAAAAGAGAACTTCAGCAATTTATACGAATTGTTTTTTTTCTAGATATTTTAAGATTATAATAAAAAGAAAAGAATTTTTTATGAACTAAAGTTTTCATCTAATTCTGTTGAAATATAATAAATTGTTTTTTTTTTCTTTTCGAACGGTATACATCCTATCCTAGTTAAGTCACGATGAACTGTTAAGTGATTAACGAGAGAATATATCCAGGTGTCACAATGTTTTTTTAAAACAAGACGATATTTATTTGATGAGTATGAGAAATATTTTAGAATACTTGAATCTTTTTCTGGTCATATGGAATATTGATTTCTGACTTCAAATTTCATAAAAATAAAATTCTGAATGAAATTAGTTGATTGTAAAACTAGATGATTTATTGAAAAATCAAATTATTCGAGATTTTTCTAATAATTATATCAAATAAACATCGTCTAGGTCGAAATGTAATTCGACAGCTGGAGAGCTCTCCCACCGATAAAAACTATAAATTTCATCATTCAATAGAACCTGGGAATCTCAGCGACATCGATCATGTTATGTGCTGACTATTGTCAAAATTCAGGTTATGGCACTCTTATAATGAATTTTCAGATTTTGTATAAATAGTGTAAATTTCAAAGACATAGATATCTCAATATAAATTTCAAATACTCCAAACGATAACAAAAAACAAAATCAATCTAACAACTAATTTTATTTTTTGTTAGTAAAATTTCTTACTATGAAATTATTGTTCATGTTAAGTTCTAATGAAAGTATCAATAAATAGAATTTTCGATATTTGTAAAAAAAAAAACTTAGTAGATTAAATAATACACATCTTATATGCGAATGAAAGGGCAAATTATCGCATGACATGTGTTAATCTTTGACTATTGTGAAGTGGTATCGAAAGTTGGTGTGAGTTATGATACATAAAAGATTTTCACTCATACTTGCAATAAATTGTTCAGTCATCTTATATCCGTATTCATAAAATCTAATTTTGTTAAAGATTTTCTTTTTTTTTTCAGATTATGGTTAATTTAATGGGAAAACAAGTTCCATTTACATATTCCGATCATACAGTTTTACTAGACATTCCTAATACGATTTGTATAAATGAACATGTTTATCGTCTAATAGATGAATGGCATTTACCAATTTTTGTATTTCCAAGTATTAAAAACAATTTCTTTTGTTTTTTTTTTTTGTCTCTAATTTCTGCTTTTTTTGTAGAATTACAAGAAGCACTTCGACTATTTTTCAATGAACAAACTCAAATAGTTGCTGATGAAACAACTCAATTAACTGTTCAACCTTTTATTGAAGGACAATATGAAATTCAAACACTTCTTGATCAATGGTTTAATCTTGTTCAAGTTAATTCTTATTGAAAAAAAAAATTAATTAAAAAATAATTTCGAATTTTGTTTAATAATAGGAATGTAAAATTTATACACATAATCTTGAACGACCTAGTGATGAACATATTTTTTCAAATGCATTTCAAAATGTTCTTCATACAGGAAATAATTATGAAATACTTCTTCAACTTGAATATATTTATCAAAGTGAAATAGAAGATTTATTAAAACAACGTGATAAACAAATACAAGAACTTGATGCAAAGTTTGAATTAAATATATATATAGATAATATGTTTTTTTTTTTGTAAAGACTTTTATTTTATTTATCTATATAGACATCATCGAGAAATGCAAGAAGTAGTTAGTGAACCCACAGATAAATATCCTGATGTTTATGTTCGAAATCTTGCACAAAAACATATGGAAGATAAACAAGTATATAAAACGATCGCAAATTTTTTTTTCTTTAAATTAAAATCAGAAACGATTTTATAGCATTCAGATCCTTGTAAATATTTCAAATCTTATCGTTGTTCACATTCTAAAATACAGCGACATCGCTCATATACACTAGTAGATTTAATGTTTTGACTTTAGACTGCGCACGATATATTGAGATTGTAATAAAAAACCTTTAGAGAGAGATATATATGAAAAAAAAAATGAGTGACAAGTTGAAGATCTCAAAAAAAAAATGAGTCTAAAAATAGAAGCTTATTTATATAAGTGTTTTCTATACAAGAAGAACAAAACTTGATTAGAAAGAAAAACTCTGCATTTTAACATATTCTTCCAAGCAAATAGAAAATTAAATATATAGACTGAAACTCATCTGAGAATATCGAACTACGTAATAAAATTAAAAAAAATTTACCTTTTTTTTTTTCTGCAAAAAAATAATGGATAAAATAAAAATAACTGATAATATATGTGAGAAAGATCTGACTGCAAGTCATCATCACATGCATTTATTTTATTTCCGATTAATCGAACGGAAATAGACTTCTTTTTAAAAGATGGCGGACAACCTCGAGCAATAGAATCAACGGCGAAATAATATATTCTTTTTTTTTTTTTATTAATGTCATAATTTTAATTCACTCAGTCTTCAATGTAATATGTGAGAGATCAGCACCATAAGAAAAAAAATCAAAGTTTACTGGAGATGAAATTATTCAAATTTATAGTAAAATATTCTATAAATCAGAAGATAATGCAAAAGAAATAAATCAAAAAACAAAAAAAAATTCTAAGCGTCAACTGAAGAAATAAAAAAAAACACGAGTATTGAAAAATTATTTTAGATGTGATACGAATAAATTCTGGAATAATTTTTGTCTAGATTGCGATCGATAGATACAAAAGTTACGAGCATTGGAATCAAAAACAACGAGGTTCTGCATATCTTTAATCTGAATAGAACATAAAAATTTGTGTTAGTTATTAATGAAACAAGATTTAAAACGAGTCTTGAGAAGTATAGGCTTAGATATTTGAACTAATGTCCTATACGGGACAATATTGATATCAAACGTCAATAATTGTCATTACATACATGAATGATTTCTATGTCACGATAATATATTTCTCCTAGTAAAACAAAATCTTTTTTAATTCTTATAATCTTTCCTCAAGTACACATAAATTGATTAGATTTTGTATTCCTACGTTTTTTTGAAAAATTAAAATATATCTTCGTATGATTAACAAGTATTTTTGTTGAATTTTTTTATAATTATTTTTCATATTTCTAGTCTGTTGAAGGTAAATGGAATAGTAATATAACATCAGCTAAAGATCGTCAAAAACAACAATTTAAAGAACGTATTATGCAACTACATGAAGAAAGTTTAGTATCAAATAGTTTACAAACTTTAAATGGCAATAAAATGTGAGATAATTTGAATTTTCTTTTGATTTATTTCAAAAAGAAATGATTTCATTTTAGTTATACACGTCTTAATATAATACCATCATCACCATTATCGATTGTAATTGCTGTACCTGATACAACATTACATGAACGTCGTTTAGAAACAAGTTATACTGTACAACTTGGTTAGTTATTAATAATTTTTATATGTTTTGATTGTTTTTTTTTTTGTTTTTTTAGGTGCTCAATTAAAATCGATGTATAATCTTCGTTTAATTCGTTGTGATATGCTTGATTATTGTCGTTTAAAAACTGAAAAAAAAGAGTAAAAAAAAAATAAAAATAAACATTTTGCTTTTTGAAACAAAAATTGTTAAATTTTTTTTATTCAATAAAAAATAGTAATAAAATTTTATTTGAACCACAACGTCTTCAAACACTTATGTCACTTTATTCAAGTTCACTTTGTGGTCTTGTACTTCTTGTACCAAAACGAATTCGATTAACAACTGCTGATATTAAAGAAGGTAAAATTATATTTCTTTTTCTTTTTTTTATGATAATAAATAAATAATTGATTTATTTATTTTTCTTACATAAAGAATTTGCTTCTGTATGTGAACGTTCAACTGATTTTCATTTTCCATCATTTGAACAACAATTATCAAGTATTGAAGATTGTATACAAAAAGCTAATCAAGCTCGATCAACAGCATCTGTTAGTCTTGATTCAAATTCATTAACAAGCAAACAAAGTGATACATCTTTAGAAGTCAGTAAAAAAAACAAAAATAAATCATATCTTCGATGAAATACTTTTTGAGAATCTTAAAAATAAAAACGTCTTTTGTCTTTTTTCTTTCGTAGTCGCAATGATCGAGATTTTAAACATGACCTACGGAAAAATTCTTCAGAAAAAAAAATCGCGGTTTTATTTCGCATTTTGAAAAACCGCGAAAGTCAGACGATTTATGCGTCTTTTAAAAACCGGTTGAAATCGCGGTGAGAACAGAAAAAAACGCAGTTAGATCTGCGAAAACTCAGCTCGGACCGCAGTTTTCGCCGGTTTCAAAAACCGCATAAACGGTCTGGCTTTCACGGTTTTTTCTTGAAAAATTCTTCCGTAGGGACACTGTATATTAAGAACATAACAATTAACTTTGTTTAAATCTTTTCATAGTTATATATGTTAATTGTATATAAATTTTCTTTATAGGAACAAAATCTATGTTCAGTTGGTGATTTTTATGTTACACGTCATTCAAATTTATCTGAAGTACATGTTGTTTATCATTTGGTTGTGAATGATAGTGCTTTACGTTCATCATCAGAAATAACTTCACGTCATGCTGCTCTATTTGGTTTACGAAATATTTTAAAAGAATGTTGTAAACATGATATAACAACATTAACATTACCTTTATTACTTACACATGATATGACAGAAGTAAATATTAATTATCTTTTTTTCTTTATAAAATCTTTATAATTGAAATGAATAGGAAATGACAATACCTTGGGTATTGAAACGAACTGAATTAGTATTAAAATGTCTTAAAGGTTTTATGATGGAAATGGCAACATGGGGTGTTAATCGATGTTCTACTATTCAACTTGTTGTACCTAAAGTATATTTTAAATTTTAAATTTAAATTGTATTAAATGTATATTTTTTGATAGAATTTACTTGATCAAACATTTTTTCAATTGGCTGATCTTGTACCGACTATATTTCGAGAATCGAGAACAGTGACATTACAATTTTAATTATTTCTATTAAATATATCAATCAGACATAATTGATTTTCTAGAATGATGATGATGATGATGTTGGTTTTTTGTTTTTATTAACAATCAAATAATCAAAAACAAAAATATTTATGTAACGAAATAAATTAAAGTGCAATTTTTTTTTTTGTTGTTGTATTAAAAATATATTGTAATCAATTATTAAACAAATTTCATTATCTGTCATCAATGTGAGAGTTCAAAAATAAATTTAATTGTATGTTATTTTGTAGAAAAATATATTGAATCATCAAATCCATTCTTCGTACTATTTTTAAAAGAATATAGGACAATGGCGCGCCGCATTGAATCAATTTACCGAGAACTAGGCATTTTTCAAGTGAAGGAATGATTGAGACTAACACATAAAAGTATACGAACATTCCACTAAATAAAGTATTTTACGTCAATAGATCTGTATGATCATTCCATAGTGACAGTACTAAGTTGAAGATACCGAAAGGGACGACTCTGTCACATCAATATATCATATGTACTTTTCGGTAGTTGAAATTCGGTATTAATAAGTGTTCGATAAGATATCTTACAGATTCTTTTAAGTAACTATGTATCAGAGATGTCCATCGCGGCGCTGCCGCTGCCGCGCCGCTGTCGCGGTGGCGGTGGCGGCGCGGCAGCGGCAGGATTTTTCTTGGAGGACATTGAAAAACTGTATGAATTTAATAGAATTTCAGGATTTACAAATGAAACGCCCTGATATTGAATAAATCTGATGGACTAGTAACCATATCTCTGGTCAAATATAGTCACAGCAGTGAAATTAGAAACACTTTTTTGAAAATCGTCGCGGCAGCGGCGCGGTGGCGGCACGTTTATTTTATAATTCATCGCGGCAGCGGCGCGGCAGCGTTTCTTTTATAAGTCATCGCGGTGCGGCAGCGTCGCGGCAACATTTTTTTATAAACCGTCGCGGCGCGGCAGCTTTTTTTTTCTAAGGCCGCGGCGCGGCAGCGGCAGATTTTCAGCCGCGATGGACATCTCTGCTATGTATTGAGTTAGTTTTCAGCAGGATACATGTTATGATTTCCGGCCTCAAATATTCTTCTTTTTACTTTTCTATCGATTACATCTTTTGTTATGACGACTTTATATATACATATTTTTCTCGTCATTTTCTCTAATATTATGTAATCATCTTGGAATAATAAATCTTACGTTATATACTCTGAGAAAATCAACACGAGGAACTTTCGCTTAAAAGTAACAAACTAGGATTAGCAATATGATACAAAATAGGATATAGACTTTCACTTCATACATTTTAGTAACTATATAGTTTATGCTGTAGAAAATAATTAATAGTCAGTTAATCGCGCTAATAGTTTTACATATATCCATACAAAAAAGAGTTTCTTCCGAAAAAATCCTTATAAAAAAATCAAAGTCAAATGAAAAGTCGAGATGTCTCGTTTTATCTGAAATGGTTCATATATACTTTTTCTTTAGTGTAAGATTACAGTCAAGCTTGATCAATATTTCTTTCGTCGGTTAAACGGCTCTTCTTGTTTTTGTTACGAGATAAAAATTTCAAAATGTACACATCATCAATAAAACTTGTTCATTCATATTACTCAATCAAATACATATGTTAATAGATAGTAGATGCCTTATAATTTACATTTATTAAATAATTGAATAGCTTAATAAAACAGAAGAGAAAAATCAATAGAAGGATTGATTTGATTTTATTCAAAATGAAAAAAAAAATCCTTTTATTTGACTTATGCACATTTGTCAAAATTTTACTGGATGATTCGATTTTATTTCTTCTTTATGAAATAGATTTATTTGTTTTTTAGATTACTTCTTGATTAGAGTAATTTCTTTTTTCATGTGAAATCATTACAACAACAACAAAAAAAATATTCAAAAAACATATTCCTAATATATTTAACGACTTCTGAATAGAATATGTCTCCAAGCATATTTTTGTGTTACTTCTGCAATATTGCAATTCTCCGATAAAATCATAGCCACCAACTTTCGATCTTTGATTTCAAACCATTTCATTATTATACGACATCTATTCAAAGAAAAAAAAATAAATTCATTTATTGATTCGCTAGTTTTCAGCATAACGATAAAATATTGTGTTCTATTCGCATATATATAGTACGGTTAGTGCGCACAATTATACTCATTTCGTCCTCTTTAACCTCTTCTACGCATTACATACAGTAAAAACATGTCGTTTAATACAGCTACAGGAGCTATTGCTTCACAAACAGCATCTAATGATGCAGCAGCTGTTCGTCGAAAAGCAGCTGAAAAATGTCAATTGGTATTAGAAACTTTATATGATTCGTTCAATGGTTACAAACAATGTGCTGCTGATACAAAAGATACAGCAATGAAAATATTATTTGATAAGATTGCAGCTAGTCGAGCTAATCTTATTGCACAATTATCAAACGTTATTCGAGTTGATTTAGGTGTTGAACCGTACGTTGTTTTATACTTTGTATATTTTCGATTTCAAGAATTGATTTATTTTAGAGTAACATCTGGTTCAGCTTTAGCAGCTGCTCATCGAACATGGATCGATGTTAAATCATGGTTTACAGATGGTAGAGATAAAGCAGCAATTGTTACTGAAGTTCATCATGGAGAAAATGTTCTTATTAAATTATATGAATCAGCTATAGAAGACCCAGATATTATAGTCAAAGTTCGAGATTTTCTTCATGAACAACTTAAAACAGTCAAGGAACAAAATGCATCAGTCGATGTTTTGTAAACGATATATATTTTTTTCTTTAATCTTATTTATATAAATATTTATTCGTGCAAAAACTATTTGTTTTTTATTTTATTAATAAATACAAGCGATAGTATTATATCTTTATAACATATAGTGATGATACAATTTTGCTAACTAATATTTTCTCCTTTTTTCCACATAACGATTCAATATACCGATTGTATATGATTCATTTTGTTTTTATTCTAAAGAATTTGATGAATATGTGGATATTTAGTGTAAATCTTTCTATGTTTTGGTTCAAGGCTAAAAATCACGAATAAATACAATATCAATCAAATGCGAAGTAATATATTCCTACTCATGAGCGAACATTTTCGATTGATCAATCGTTGTTTCATCAAAGGTTATTTTTCGGACAACAATGTAGAGATTTCTATGAAAAAAAAATAAATGCTTTTTTTTTTATATAAGCTACATTCAATTTCTGAATGTAGTTTTAATATATATATGAAGATTCTGTGTAGTAATGCTGATAAAAAATTATTTTTTTATTAATAAATAAATTTTTCAATAGAAAATAGTTTTTATAAAAATGTGCTGCCGACATACATTGAGATCGTTAGCTGTGTTATATAAGAAGAAGTCTGATAATATAATGTAAATAATAGGAAATCAGAAAGATTTCTTTCAGTTACTCTATTATCATACAATAATTATCAAGTGTTATATTACAAAATAATAAGATAAGCGATATCTAATATAGTCTGTTGTATAACATAAGAAAAACCGATGCTTTTAAAATCTTCTGTTTGTTTTTCAAGATACAAAATGAAATTTATTTCTTAGTTTTCTCAAATATTAGTCATGATATTTTGTCTAATTATGATATGATAAGTTTGAATTTTCAGAAAGTTTAATTAAATGACAAGGAGAAAAGAATTCCAAGGAAAGTTAATTTTGTTTTGAAAAATAAACATAGAAAATTGGTTTTAATATAAAAATGAAGGGGATGTTTTTTTTGAATTGGATTGAGCCAGGAAATTTATCTTATAATGTAATTCATCTTTGACTTCTAAAATAAAATTTTAGCTAGTTTACAGCTATGTCTTTTTGTTTTTGAGACATCTATCTTCATTTTCATCGTAGCTTTATCATATACGGCTGTAGAGTAGCCAAAATAAGATCTACTTACTTATCGTACTGTTAAATCTAGAAATGTTACATAATGTGCAAAAAGAAGAAATGAAGAACATTTACAATGATACATAATAAGAACAAAACACAATTTTATACTGAGATTATAAATCTAATAAGTTCATCATTACCCTAGTTGACTTTCCCTAAAGAAATCTCTGGGGAGTCCCGACAAATTGTGAAATCCCCAGGGAGTCCGTTACGTGCGTCCCACGGGAGTTCAAGTAGAATACGAGAAAACCTTGGGGAGTTCCTGAAGAGAGTTCAAGTAAGATACGAGAAAACTTTCGGAGGGAGTTTCTGGGAAGTTCAAGTAAAATACAAGAAAAATTTCGGAAGAAGTTCCTGAGGAGTCCCTGAAAAATCCCTAGGGACTCATCTGGGAATCCTTAGGGATTTTTCAGAGACTCCTCAGGAATTTTTCAGGAACTTCTTCTGAAATTTTTCTTGTATTTTACTTGAACTTCCCAGAAACTCCCTCCGAAGGTTTTCTCGTATCTTACTTGAACTCTCTTCAGGGACTCCCAAAGGTTTTCTCGTATTCTACTTGAACTCCCGTGGGACTCAAGTGACGGACTCCCTGGGGATTTCACAATTTGTCGGGACTCCCCAAGGATTTCTTTAGGGTAAGTAAAACAAAAATAAGCGAAGTTATCTATCTAGATTTATAATCCATATCTTTTATAGTTTGTTATTCATCATCTAAAACTGATAAATATGCAATTATTATCGAAGTTTTTTGTCTTGATAAAGTTACTGTTGATTAATTGGATGACTCTAATTCATTAAATTCAACAGTGCAATTATTAACTGTGGTTGCTTGAAAAAGCATAGCTAATGTTCAGACTCACAAACGTTTCGAGCAGTTGTATTCATGAGTTTTCTTCTCGATAGTAATAGTGAAGAAGAATTTGAAAAAAAACATGTGAAGCTTTTTGAAAAATGGCTTTATTTCATAAAACAAAAATAAGATATCTCGACTTTCTGTTTCTTCATCAAACTTTCGTTGTGTTTGTCGTTTTGTATAAATTGAATGTAGTTCGATAAAGGAAGATGATAATAAGAATCAAGATATTACATTTAACTATATCAAAGGAAAATATTTTTCAGAAAGTTTCATATGGATACCTAAAAACTGATTTTTGAGACATACTCATCTAAGCAGTTTTATGGATGTATTGAAACCCATCAATCTTGATAGAAAATCTTTCCAGCTATTCCTATCGAGAATAAAACTGAAAAATACAGCTTCTTTAAACTTATCTTCGCCATTATGTCCACGTATGTATGTAGGTAGACATCACGTGTTATTTTAATTGAAAACAAAAAAAAGAATCTTGTCTGATCTTCAAAAGAAACTTGGATATTCCGTAATTTTTTCTAGCTTCTTCTATTTATTTTTGTAACCAATCCGGTAACATTCTTATCAACTTGCACTTCAAACAAGCATCTTTTTTTCTTTCCTGTTCATAAAGTACTTGACCTGAATTTAATTCAAGATTAACAACAATTTTTACTGTTCAATTAAGAAAAACAAGAAATTAGAAACAATTTTGATTAGTGAGAATTTGAATGACGCTTTTTTCTTCATCTCACAATCGCATCCTACATATGTATCATAACAAAATGAATTTCTCAGTTTAATCTAATGCTAAACGAAATGAGTTATGTTTATTATAACTTTCTATTTTTAAAATAGAAGATCATAACACATTGTCATATATGATTATATTCCTAACTAGTCTTTCTAATAGATCTTTCAATTCTGTTATTATTCTTTATGATGTTTTTCTTGTGATCGGCATAATAGGAAACACAAATGAATTAATTTGTTTTTCATTAAACAAAATATATCATGAAAATATTTGATTGAATACAATTTTATCTAAAAAACATAATTATTAATCCACAGAATATACAACAGTGATAAAATATCAAAAAGATAATTTATGGTTCTGAAACTATTATATATATATATATAATAAGACTTTATGTGTGATTCTTAAGAAAATCTTTAATAAGATTATTAATTCTTATAGATCTTATTTCACTAATATTCCAAGTAAAGAGTGAGAGACATAACTTATTTCATACGAAAGAAATTTTACATTTTCTTCTATAATTACACGTACATCAAATGTTGACTTTCTTTATTGTTTGTATTTACCATCGTCAATACTATTTTAAGTACTTTCTCTCTAATATCAACAATTTCTTCTCATGTCGATAATATCTGAGAGCATCAGAATTTTTCGTTCATGAGAATAAAATTAAATTTCTTATAGTGACTTGATAAATGAAAAAAAAAAAGAAATGTTTACATAATCAAAAAACAAGATATAATTTGTCATATTACTTTTAAATAAACATAATCTATTACAAATCATACACTTCATTTACTAAAGTATACTTCTAAATTCAAGTATGAATATTATTCTATAAGATATAACTATAGAAAAAAGAAAATATCAATTTAATATATGATGATGTTGTCAACTTGATAAAAAAAAAAAAGCATTTTATTTAAATAGATGTTAAACAATTGAGAGAATGAAATGTAAATAATTTCTTATTTCCTCAGCAAGATTAAAAAAAAAAAACCTTCTAGGTTTTTTTCTCTCTTTCTATTTAATAATGTTTGTTTCATCTTAAATGTCATAAGTTTTTTTGTTTTTCTCAGTATAAAACTACAAATATTCTTCAATGTAATTATCAATTTTCTTTTTGATTGAATATTAGTATAAAATGAATACAACATTAAATAATATTATAATAACTACAATTCATTGTAGTCTTTATCGTTTTTTTGGTTTAATTTTACTTCTTACTTCTTTCATCAATTTATTTATTAGTTGTCGTTATTTTATTAATCGATATTTTAATAAAACAAAACATTTTATTATTAATCGTACATCACCAATTATAATTGGAATGTTATTTAGTTCCATCTTAGTTATATTTACTGCTGTTCCATTAGTTATTATACAATGTTTTACTTGTCATGCTTATTTATCATATGAAATTATATGTACAATACATGGTTTTGTATGTTTTTCTGCTGGACTTTTTAATATGTAAGTTATGATTGAATAAAATAAAATAGAAATTATGTGTGTGTTTTGTTTTAATTTAAAGGTATATTGTAGCATTATTATCATTTTCACGTTATCTAAGTATTCTTCATAAACGAAGTTGGCTTAATCGATTACTAGAACAACATTACGATTTAAATGTATTATATTGTGCATTATTAGCTATTTGTTGGACATTGCCACCAGTATTTGGTATTGGAAATAAATATGTACGTGAAGGTGTTGGTTTTTATTGTAGTTTAAATTGGAAAGATCCATCGATTTATTCACGTATTTATTTAATATCTGTTATTTTTTTTAATTATTTTATACCATTAATACTTCTTCTTTATTCAAATCTTCGTGTTTATTTTACTCTTCATTATTTATTAAAATTATCTAAAAGTTCAAAATATATATCATTATCAAAGACACATAGTCAATCAAAAAATTCTATTATGAATGATAGAATATCATTAGATATTGATTTAAATCGATGTTTACCAGATATACGATTAGAAGAAACAACAAATCGTTTACAAAGATTAAAAATCGATCGACGTTATGCACTCATAACAGCTATGATAGCAGCTCAATATCTTATCACATGGACTCCATATACATTTGTTGAAGGATTAAATGTGATTGGACAAAATACATTTATTCAACGTAATCCATTTTTACCAACACTTTGTGGATTATTAGCAAAATTATCACTTATTCTCAATCCACTTATATTGATCTATTCAAATAAAATGACTGAAACATAAAAAAGAAAAATCGTCATTTTTGTAAGCTATTAAGATTAATACGCAACAAGTCAATAAAATCTTATTTTAAAATAATTTCTTTTTTGACAAAATAAAAAATATTCATGTAAATGCTTTTGTATTATCTAGGCTTCTATAACGGAAAAATTCTTTCCTAATAGTGTAATGATATTTATAATTATGTTCTATAATAAGACTATTATGTGTATTGCGAACTTATCGTGATACAGAAAAATAAAATGAACTTAATAACTCAAAAACTAAAGTATAAAAAATTAGTCAAAGAAACGTAAGAAAGACCTTATGTTAATGTAACACAAATGATGATAAGATGAAGAAGTCACGAAAATTATATCTTATTATGATTTAAGTTTCAATTGTAATATATGAAGTAAAAATAAGATGAGAAAACCTTATAAAAGATGATTATCCTATTCATCATTCAAATATACGCATTATCAAAAAATACTTCTCTTTTTTTTATAAGCGCAAGATCACTCTCTAATCATAAATATTGATCCTCTTCTAAAAAAATGATGTTGTTCATAGATAGAAGTTGATATTAACTTTAAGAAGAAAACTCTTGATGAAAATTGTTAATCATTATGTATTAAAAATAAGAAAGCTTTTTTTTTAGATTAATAGAAGTCGAAAAATCGAATCTTAATTATTTTAGAACAAAATTAAATTAACAAAAACTTGATTGTCATTGCATTGGTTTTTGAAAGTTAAGACAACATTGAATATATATTTAACGAAATGAAAGATGATATTCATTATGTTGGATAGTATATATTAAGCTCTTTATTTGAAAATCTTAGAGTTTATGAGATATACGTTTATAATTAATAAATGTTAACTTTAAGGGGCAACCTTTCCGAAGTTATGACACTTTCAAAGTAGATAGGTCTGAAGAAGTAAATCAAAAGTTATGATTCTCTAATGTTTCCATCAGAAAGAGATGGAGATTGCAAGGATCGAATATGGCTGGAACTTTTCTCCTCTACAAAATTCAATATTTCATTTTTTCGAATCGCAACTTTTTATGAGAACTAAATTCAAATCGAAGTTTTTTTTTTTCCTTTCAAAAATATTGTTCCTTGCGCTCTGGAACTGGAAGTATCGTCACAAAACGTGTTATTTCTTATTATTTTAAAATGTTACCGATTTTTGTAATTCTTTTGTTCTAACATTAATTTTGAGAAAAACTACAAAACAAAAAAATTAATTTTTTTTCTCTATTGCTCATGTTAAATTATCATAGATTATCATTTATTACGCATGCAATATGAATATGAAGAATTGTTTCTAAGAAATATTAATAAACAAGATAAATTCACTAGATTGTCACGTAAATTTTTCATATCAAAATTGTAAGAGAAATTGTTTTATATAAGAACAATGGAATCCTCTTAAAAAGTACACAATTCAGTTTTTGATTTATCTGTTAAATTTTTCTCAACTATTCATCAATCATCATGTATATATTTTCTTAGTGTAGTTTTTCATTTGAGTAAAAACGAGAGAACATGAATGCCTAGTTTATTTATACAGGATAAAAGAAGGAACAACAGAGAGTATCTGATAAATGAGAGAAAAGAGAAGAGCAAGCAGCATATATGCCAGCGTCCAATTCAAGATCCGAGATTGAACTAGTCCAAACTTGAATCGAGGAAAACTTTGAAATCAAAAATCAATTTTGGTCGTAAAAGATAAAACACGATGTATTTGTTGTTGTTTAGCAGAGGGAAATTGTTATATTCTATCTATTTTTGGATACACTTCTTAACCATCCTATTACCTAATCATCCAGAAATTCAATAAGGAAGTAGCTCATTCATCATAGAGAGACGTTATTGATACATGGTCTGTGATCGTATATCAACAACGTCTATCTAAAGTCTGTAGCGTTTCTATTATTGCGTCTGTCACGGTCTTTAATGAAGGAAAGACATTGCTAAGGATGTCTGTTAGGCTTGTAATGTGTCGTTGCTAAGACCAATGTCACGTCTGTGTGTGTGAGGGAAGGGCTCTAAATTTTTAACCCTATATTTTAACACTCCTTTTAGATTATGTTTCACAAGAGAGAAAGAGAGTTCCTCTCAACAACAGATAGTTGAGTATCATCTGACTAAGTTCTTATTTATTCAGCAAAATATATAACCAAGACATGTATAAAAAATTTTCATCCTGCAAGAGAACATAAGTAAACATGAAACTATGAAGAACGTTTGTGACGTTCTATATGATGATCAGCAATAAAATCAATAGATAAGCAATGGCTGAGGATACAATGATCATATTGATGATAACATTACATCAATGAACTAATCTGCATTGTTTGTGTAAGGCTTTCAGTTGATCATTAATATCCACCTCGTTCTATTGTTTACCTTCTTCAATTTTTATCTTGAATCATTCATTTATTAACCTATGTACATCAAGTAAAATTTCTTACAGAGAGAAAAAGATGATTATGCTATTAGTTTATTGTTCACGGTTCGAGAACAAAGAAGGTTGATCAAACCTTCGATGATATCAACAATGAACATGATGTGAGCATTTCGATCCAATGCTGTTGGTGAACATATGTCTCTGAAGACATTTTGCAAGGAACAGCTAAACTGAAAACAATTTGCTTTGAACCAAATACAAACTGCTGATGGGGCAACATCTTGGAATCAGTTGGACTACTAACGAACGAAGTCAAGGTTATGCCTTTTAGAGAGGCACATGAAAGAATATGATATGGAGCGGAAGAGCTAAGAAACAGTGTTGCCAGCTCAAGTATGATGCCCAGCTGTGGACTTTTTTACAATGGCTTACCGATTTCGTTCGACCAATCAAATATGAACAAAGAAAACTTACTTGACAAAAATTTCAGAAACATTCAAACATAGATATTTGTCTACATCGTATTATTTTACAGCATACTACGATGAGTTGATTTTCTCTTAAGCCACGATCGACATTTGGCAGTCTGTGCACTTCTTAAAACATCAAATAGTGACCATCCATGGGATGCTACATTAAAACTCATATTGTATTTACATGCATTTCGAAAAGCACGGTCATATGAAGCATTAAATTTATCTGATGTGCAGTAGTTTTATGAAGGTGAAAATAATAAAACGAAGAACATCATGGCGAAAACAGTTTCCACTTCCCTGATCACAATCATTGCGTTTCGCACTCAAAGCATTTGCGATGAAAATCACACTAGAGAAATGCAAAGTACCTTACTCTTGAGTCCCTACTGCAGTCGGAGTTTCGAAACAAAGATCACTTTAAAAAATCGATCCTGCTAGGACATTTGTTCTATTTTTACTAGTGATTGATTTTACTATCTTTGCAGCAAGACAGTCAGTAGATACAATAGCTGACGGGTGTGAGCGAGCATGTGTACATGTGGACCTTTTCCTCTTCACCATCCTCACACTCACACTGTCCACATCCATACATGAACAACCCCATTACACATTCACCTCCGCATCGTGTGAGTTAGGTTTGTGCCTCTTATCACCCACACTCTTACACTCATACGATGCATGTCAGGCTGTCTTTCATTCTAGAGTGTTTATGCCAACATCAAATGGCCTCTGGAGTTCGTCGTCTTAATGAACGACAACGTTTTGACGACATTAATGAAGAACCTGACAAACCCTTACCTACCTTGCCGATGTCCGTTACTTGAGGAAAAGGAATACAATCATTACGTGAATGTGTGGAGCCTGTTCTTACTTTAAACCTAGTTGAAGATTTATTAAAAAAAGTAACATATTCATTAGAGAAATCTAAACATCCGAAAGACGGTCTTACACAAGATCAGTCTGCTGCATTATATCTATACTCACTTCAAACTTCGTTTTACACGAAGTTTATTGATGCATTACGTGATGAAAATCGCACAAAAACAGTACCCTTTTATGACTATTATAGGTTGTTCATGTCCGCCCTAAACAAATTACCATCAATTCAAGATAACATGTGGCGCGGTGTTACTGCTAGCCTTAGCGATCAATATAGATCAGGTAGCATTCATATATGGCATGCTTCTAGTTCATGTTCAGATCAAGTACATGTTACTAATGCGTTTCTCGACAAAAGGGTGTGGGTGTGGGTGAGGGTGTGAATGTGCATGTGGGTGTGAGTTTGGATGTGGATGTAGGTGTGGAAGTGCGGGTGGGTATAGATGTGGGTGTGGGTTAGGGGGTGGATGTGCATGTGGGTGTGGGTGTGGGGTGTGGGGTGTGGATGTGGATGCAGGTGTGGGAGGGTGTGTGTGTCAGAGATGGAACCGGTCTAGTTTTTTTCAGACCGGTACCGGTACCGGTCCAAAACAATAAGACCGGACCGACCAATCTACCGGTCTAGACCGGCAAAATCGATCTATCAGTAAAACCGGTCTAGATCGGCAAAACCGGTCTACCGATAAAGCCGTTTAGACCGGTTCGTCTACCGAAACAGATTTACCAAACAAAGTTGATCTGATCGGTCTACCGGGCAAAACTAGCCTACCCTTACTAAACAGGATGCTGATGATACGTCAGTTTATAAAAGAAAAACCGACGTACCGACAAAATATCGAGCTTTAGACAACAGGCTAAGGCTTGAAATGAAGCCTTGTTTTATAGTGAACTCTCTTGAGGGCTACCTTCGTACTTTCACGCATACTAACATAATGTTTTCTCGTTGATAACAATAGTCTCACTGATGGGTATTTTGAAAATTTTTTTTTAAATAAATTCCTATGTGATTAGCGGAACTAGTCTTGGTGCCAGTTGTTTTTTCATATAATTACCATCATAGAACGGGAAAGTGAGAAATATAGACCGGTTTAGACCGGCCGAACCGGATTAAACCGGTCGACCGGTCGATCCAAAGTCCAGACCGGTACCGGACCGGCCGATTACCGGTACCGGTTCAATCTCTGGTGTGTGTAGATGTGGGTGTTGTTTTTTCTTTCAGCCAGCCACACCCACACCCACCCACCCACGCCCACACCTACATCCACCCACACCCACACCCTCACCCTCACCCACACCCCGAACATTCGACATTTTGGTACAATAAAGTTGATACTCTTGGAGGTTTGAAAACAGATAACATTCGTATTCAGCGAACATGGAATAAAAGAAAAGAGTTTACACGCATTCGATATCACCGACGTACATGGATCCATCGCCCTTTCGAATGCATGAAAGATACAAGACTCAATTGTCTAATATTTCATGACTTTGGTTTTTTACTTCTGGATACTGTAAGATATTGTTGTCACTATTAATTGAATTCTATTCTTTGTCTTAAAAGTATTCTGTACTCAATACCAAATACAACACTATAACGATTATTTTTGTTCTCTTTATGATAACTTGAATGGGGTGTGGGTGCAGAAAAAAGGAATATTCACACCTACACCTACTCGAACCCGCACCCAGCCACCCCACCATTTTTCTTATGAATTAAAACTCTGACTAGTGTTTTATCGTCGATAAAATGTCAGCCTGATCGGTAAGAGCAGAGTGGAGAATATTTGAATTTTTATTGTAAAGTCATTTATGAAACACCTGGTAGTAATATGTTTTCACATAAAAGTAGGTATAAATATGCTGTCGATAGGCATATTTATTGTAGCAATGCAAAAAGGTAATGAAATAAACTCTGAAATCACTTATGAAGGATTGAGCTCTTGGCTGAGAGTTACTTAGGGGTAGTCAAAAGTAGTGGTAGAGATATCTTATTTTCGCATAGGAGACTTGAAGAAATTTTCTTTTTTTATGAGGTGATAGAGAAAACGAAGCTCTATTATTCTGTGCTATTTGAGTGTGTGGGTGTAGGTGTGGATATGTTTTGAGAGAGTGGATGAATGAAAGAATCAGAAGCACGTCTACACCCACTCCCACACCCTCCCACACCCACACCCACACCCACACACCCACACCCACACCCCACACCCACCCACACCCACACCCTCCCACACACCCACACCCCACACCCACCCACACCCACACACCCACAGCCACACCCACCCACACCCACACACCCACAGCCACACCCACCCACACCCGCATGGATGCGCGTTTTACATTCTGACTGCACTTATATGCTATTTAAAGTTGCTTTTAGTGGCATTCGGACATAATTTTGTTCCACGTTGTATTTGTAAACAACTATATCATCGGGTTTGAGCTACATTTCGAGTCTTTTGTTTTTACTATTTGTCACCTAGTTGTGCTCCTAATAAGATTACGTGAGAACTAACATTGAACTTCATTTTTCAATTAAAGTAAACATTTTTGCTTAGCTTTTAATCCCTCGAAGATGGGAATCACATATATGTAGTTTGGTTCTGAATCACTTTTTAACTGACTTATGAATATCTTTAATGATATTTTTCTGTTGTCTTTCAGAACAGTGGTTATGGGCTTTTGTTGTTCTCATTGCCAAACGTATTTCTTTTCTCTTTCTGAAAGAATGATTCACACATTCCATGAGAATCTTACTTTGCAACTTCGTCGAGTTTCATTTTCTCAAAACCAATCCCATCTCCAAGGGATAATGTTTTTTCTTGAAATTTAAAATGCTACGTTTAACGTATATGTTATACCAAAGCAAAGTTGATTTTGTGAAAAATAGTGGTGGTGGTGACGTATCAGGAAATAATGTTGTTTCAATACTGTTTTCCAATGAATGATCTCTATGTGTCAAAGGTGATACGTTTCCTCACTAATTTCTACTTCACAGCCTACTAGGTCTTCATGAATTAGTACGACGGATACAAACATGATGAAATTTCTGGTTTGTACTTATTTCTTCTTATCTTCTATCTTTGATGCAATGCTAGTCAGTGACATATTAAGTTGCAGATTATTAAGAATAGTCGTATTAAGAATTGGAAATCCAATAAAACTTTAATACGTCATCGTAATAATTTGATATATAGTTTTCATTTTTTTTTGAATGAAAAATGAGTAGTTTACTGTTCCATTCCTACTAACCTATATTTTGATGAATGAGTTTCCATTCTTGATGGCACGCTGTACATTCATAGCTAGAGACGCGTTGACATGTATCTTATTTATATAAAACAAAAAACCCGCATTTAAACGCGTTACTGGAACTTAAAAGCATCCAATGCATACAAAGTAAGCGCATTCAAACGCAACAGTAAAATTAATCGCGTTGAAACGCGTGTAAAAACTAATTTGAACTAGTTTTGATGCATTCTAATCGCGAAACGCGTCTAAACGTAAGCAAAACTTTGCAACGCGTTCAAACATCCATATGGTGAACGCATTTCAGTGCGTTTGGAGGCAGTTTCAATTTTGAGACGCGTTTAAACGCGTCAAAAAAAGCGTTTCATGGTTACATGGGAGAGATATGGATGAAGCACTTCTCTTGGGAAAATAGCCATTTCTAATGGAAAAAAATTCATTTCTACTCGACGTAGTCCTTAAGAAGAAAAAATAAAATGATCTATTTCTCTCTAAGTGTTTTCGACTTCTGCTTCTGCGTGGAGATATGTATGAAGCACTTCTCCTGGACAAATAACCAATTCTAATAGAAAAAATAAATTTCTCCTAGAAACATCCCGTAAGAAGAAACAATAAAGTGATCCATTTCTCTCTAAGGCTTTTGGACTTCTGCTTGTGAAGGGAGATATGGGTGAAACACTTCTCTTGGGAAAATAACCATTTGTAATAGAAAAAATCCATTTCTACTGGACGTAGTCCTTAAAAAGAAAAAAGAAAATGATACATTTCTCTCTGAGTCTTTTGGACTTCTGCTCGTGAGTGGAGACATGGATCGAGTGATTCTCTTTATTATTGTTCTTTTTCGCTTGTAGTAATATGGTCGAAGGAATGTGGTGTGTTGATAGAAAAGCGTTTCTTCCGACTTTATGTGGTTGAAGTATTTCTGCTTGAAACGGAACAATTTCTCTTTGGTAGAGGGGATATGGCCCAACCCTCGTGTGAAAGATAATAAAGTGTTGCAATCGATCAATTCTTAATCAATTCAGGAGGAGATCGCCCAGTACTAGCATAAACAGAATATTACAAAGTTGCGCCTAGTGTTTATTCCGGTTACTCTTGGACTAACTCGACTACAGTAAGTAGATTAAGAATTGAATTCAAAGTTGTTGTGACATCTTGTCGGTTTCTCATGAAACTTATATTGGAAATGTAAGAACAACTAGCGCGTCAAAACGATGGATCAACCATATGAAGAAAGTCTTCAAGTATTGAGATTGAATTCACCAACGTTGAAAATAGTATTTGACTTTGAACTCAATCTTTATTTCAGTTAATCGAGTTTGGATCGATGCTTGAGATCACAGTTTTTCGAGCTCTATCTATGATAAAAATTTGATGGAAAACGATTGAAGTTTACCTAGAGTTTCACATGTCTCTGGACTTCTGATGGACACTGGATTTTCAAATCAAATAAAAAAACAACAACCACAAAATACTGAAAATAGATATATAGTACATGTTCAGCAAAAGTTCATATAATTTTGAGTGATCACAGTCGCTCTGCAGAGAAACAAAAATATTCGCTTTTTTATCTCTTGACTTGGTATCATCTTTGTTACTTTCAGACTAGATATTGTTTTTTTCCAACTTTTCTCCAGCCAACATTCTATCATTTTGAGATAGGTTGATTGCATGAGCTAATTTTTACATATGGACAAAATAAGTATTCTCGATAATTCTATAATAAAAATATGATTAGATTGATTAGCTTTGTCACATGTTAAAAGATTAATGTCCATCCTTCTAATCGATGAGTCATATAGATAAGAAGATATTTTTTGTATTCTTTTTTCACAAAGGATTAAAAAGTGACTCACTTTTCTAGGTATAGAATGCATTCTCTTATGACTCATTCATTGTCATATTAGGAAATATTTCTTACGGTGATTCATCAAAAAAGTTCATTCTTGTTTCTGTAAAAGAATAAATCTTTTCTGTTGCATTCAACAATATTGCCCGTTAAAATATATGAATGACTGAATTTAGCTTTTTAATCTTTTTTAACTACATAAAAATACATATTTTCAAAAAAAAGGGTTCAATCAATCTTTTCCGAATTTTGATGATTTCCATGTTTGAAAACAATCAACATATTGAGAAGTAACACAAGAACGACAAATACAATCTCCTGAACAAGCATGAAGTAAAATCTGTTCACGATGTATATATTGATTACAAAGACTGCAAATAAATTGATTACTTTTATTGAATTCATTTGTACTGTTATATTTACATTGATTTGCTGGTTTTGTACAATTTTGTGTCATTATATTTCCATTATTAATATATTTAAGAAGAAAAGTAACTTTGCTTTCGAGTATAGTGATATGATTTTCTAATTCAATTTGTTTTATTCGAGTTAAATTTAATATATTTTTAAGTTCATTAATAATTGGTCGTACTTGTTGAAATGAACAATTATGTAAATGTGTTGAAAGTTTATCTTTTGATCCTTTCCATGGACATCTGATATCAGCTGATGGACAAGATACAATTGTTTTTAAACAATTGTTTTCATGATTTTTCCAATGACATCGTTGAATATTTGTTTCATTACAAAGTAAACATCGAACAAGAAGACGATCAATTTGATTAAGTACTATTCGAGTATTAATTGGAACATATAAAGATTGTTTAAATGATTGATTATTTCTTTCAAAACCATGTCTAATATTTTGTCTACATATTGGACATGTTTGATTTCCATAAAGCCATATTTGAATACATTGTTTACAAAATGTATGATTACATATTGATAAACTCACAGGATCTTCAAGTGGTTGTTTGCATATAACACATTTAAGTTCATCATCAATTTCGTTTTCATTTATATATTCATAATTCAAATGAATTGAAGCATCCATATTTTACAGAACTAATGACAAAATTAGTTTCGATCGTTTATTTTTGTAACTACGTATGTTAATAGTAAATGACTGTTACACTTTACGTATTTTTCCTTTGCTCTTATGTGTTCAAAGTGATATAGAGACAAGTCAAGTAATGAAGTAATTCAATAAACATCATTGTCTAGGGTAACTATAAGACTAAATCTCTCATTCGTCACAAACTGTGAGAGAGCATTTTTTTTCTTCTAAGATGACATACTGAACGTATGACTAATAAAAAAAAAGAAAATTGTAGTTTTTCATTTTTTTTTCTTTGACTCATGATCTTCTGAATCATCTGAGAAAGAAATGAAAGCTGATAAATAATATATATTTGTTAATAATTAAAACTCTCTATTAATTAGCGTATAAAACTGAGAATGATGATTCCAGTTTGTAAATAAGATATGTATATAGTAAAGAACAATGCCACATCGACCACATGTGTCATTGAAAAAGAGATAAAAATTCTGTATGAGTCGTATCTGTTGCATTGTGCATACATTATCAAGTGCAATGGCAATTATAATACGTCTCAGTTTTTAAAAAACAAACGTTATGGTTATAAATATTGTAATCTATAAAGAAAACCTGCTTAAATGATCGATAGTTTGAATAAAAGTAAAAAGGATAACTTTTAGAATGTAGATAATTCTATCTGACGATGTATATTATAGTATAGAATGTCACTGATCATTCATATACTGAATGTTATAAGTATGATCTTAAGAAACATTAACTTATTTGATTTTACTCATAAAGTCACAGTTAACATAGACTAAATGTAGTTGATCACGAAAATTGAAACTGTAATTTAACGATGATAATAGGTATTTTTTAGTTTTTTTCAATCGTCTTTAGAAAAAATAGAGTGATACCATGATTCGTCTATCTTTTAGTCTTTATTTAATTATTTTAACTGGGGGGGGGGGGGGGGGGGGGGGGGG